ACTGTTAGTCTGATAAACTCTTAGTTGATTAACTCTGATATCAGAAGCTCAAAGTTTTCAGTTTCAGAACAGCTCATAAGTGTTTTCTTTCTCTACTCACGTGCATGAGTAGAGAAAGAAAACACTCATCACTTAAGATCAGATACCACAATGCAACAGGTGAATATAGTCTCAATTTTAATCAAATGAATGGAGGAATGTGAACATGTGCCAGTGCTGACTATGACATTTATCAGGAGGGGAAAAAAAGAGTCATTTTAATTTGCTTGGACCAGTCTGTTATCATTACAGACCTTATAAACTTTTATATGAAATCTTAATTTTTCTATCGTGTTCACAGTCCTTTACATGAGATGTGCATCCAAAACGGACCAAAAACGCATGAACTGGGAAATTACCGAAGCTGAATTCGATCCAGGCCCGATCCAGTCTGAATCTGTGATTCTTGTCCATTTTTAATCTTTCCTGTTGTGCAAGTGGACTCCAACCTGAACATAGTTTTTGATCCATTGTGGAGCCTATCATAGGCTACCTGTGGGCAAATCTGGGTCTGAGTTGATCCAATGAGAAAGATTCAGGTGATTTTTTTTAGTCAAAAACATCAGATTCAAATTCTGATTTTCAGACTCTCTACCATTCAGCCTGATGTTTGACTTTAATTTAATGAGTTAATGACTGAATATCAATTTGTGAACACATTTCAACATGAAATCTACAGAACACACCGCATTTTGCCTAAAAAGCCACTTTGAAATACATTTTTAGACTCTTAATGCCCTTTCAGCCTAATCTTCATTCAAATATTCATCTCTAACATCTGTGACTGACAGTATGACCGATAGCAACACGGGAAATGAAGTTCATTGACCAGTGTGTTGTCTGTCTAACGCTTTATACAGATCAATTTAACATAAACAGTAATTGCTACAGTGCACTAAACTTGTTGATAGGCTGACAGTTACACAACTGTCCACAGGGTCACAGAGTTAGAACGATGGAGAAGAGATGGATGTGAGTGAGGGTAAAAGCGCTCAAATCTAAAAACAGCTAACTGAGGTCTTACTGGGATTTGTGTTTTTCTAAAAATGTAAATTTCCTTAAATGAATTACCTCTGCTATGCACTTTCATAGTGAATGAGGAGCTGAATCAGAGTATCAGTCAGCTGATTCAGCAGCAGCAGGACATTGAGCGGGTTTAGTTCTGTTTCCCCGGTGACTGAGTTTAAGTTAACTCGCTTTCTGGAACAGAAAACCTGGCGTTTTCCTCATCTCAGGGTTAACAAAGAGTTGTTAGATAAACCTGCTTCCTGGAGTAGACTCTAGCAGGCTTTCTACAGCAGCCACATGCAATCCATTTAGAAGTGAAAAAAACACGTTCTTTGACGAGAAAATATCAGATAGAATAGCAACGTTCTGTGCTGAGGGCAGAATGAAAAAAGTAAACACAAACTTAAGTATCTCATGGACTGAAAAGACATAAAACTAAGCTATAAAAACAATCGTGGACTAAAGGCTGAAACATATTAATTGCAAACTGTTTTTTCTGTGACAGCTTTCATGAAAAGTAGATCGCATAACAAAACTACAACGCGTTTCTAATACTTCTGGCAATAGTGTCCAATGAAATGGAATCTGGGGAAGTTTAAACCATTGGTAAGAAAAAGAAAGTGTTTGAAAATGAAATATTTATGAAAACAGACATTATTCATTATTTTGATGGACCTGGAAGTTATTTAAAAAGGAAAAACAATCAGTACAATAACAAATAATGAAATTATTCTTTAATTATTATTTGTCATTATTATAAAGAGTCATTGTGGGAATCAGCAGTAAATATAGCTAGCACTTTTTCAAATGCAAACACAATATAAATTTCCATTTGACATTTTCAGATGAATGCTGTACAATTTAAACAATAATTTACCTACAAACCTCCCCCTGAAATTTGCACTTGCTGTGTTTCAGGCGTTACCAAGAAAAACAGGATAAAAAGGGAGACGAAAACTCAGGTTACACAAATGTGGGGAATGAAAAATTAAACTGTTCGTAATGGATGGAAAAAGGGGTTAGAGGGCACTTGTAGCAAAAAGGAAGTATCCTGTATGTGCCTTTGTTCTTGAGTGTAATTACTCTTGTATTTAAGAAAGAACAGGAGCTCTCTTGCAAACTGGAATAATTTCCCTTTTAGGGAAAACGATCTACAGTCTAGAGGAACATGCTCATTTGGTTTGGACCACTACCCATAAAATAGGGTTTAAAGGGATCTAAAGACGCAAGTCTGTTCCTCCTAATCAAGACCAAGTCCTCGGGCGATCACTTGAACTCTGCCTCCAGGTGGTGGGGGCTTCTGTCATAGACTTTCTTGTTCTGCCAGGGAGAGCACAAATTCTCACCAAACCACATAGAGAAGTTTTAATACTTCTTCAAAGGGCTCTAAATTTATCTATACTACCTTCAGAGAAGTGTGAGAACAGTGAGTGGGGGAGGAGACGAGAGCGCTCCCCTGGATGTCTGCATAGGGGCTGAGATGTGTTCGCCTCTACAGGGACACACCCACAAATAAAGGGCTATCACTAAAAAAAAAAAAAAACAAGCAAAGAAAAAAAAAACCAACAAAAAAAACCTAGTAAAGCATTCTTTTTACCTGTCAGCTCTGATTTCATGCCTTGTTTCTAAACCATCGATCAAGATCAGTTTCCATCATCTGACTTTAATCAACAGATGTGGCCCAACTGGTCCTGAATTTGCCAAAAGCAGCTTTGATTGGACCCTCTGCATGACTTTATATTTAACCACCCACCCCTGTAGCTACTTCATCTCCTCCCCTGTCTGATTTCTCATTGTATATAACTTCTTTTATTTATCAGACAGCTGTAGATCCTGTTTTAATAGATGAAAGAACGTGCTACAAGGATGCTAGCGGACTTCAGATTGAAGATACTATAACTTTATGTAGAAATTATTATTGTGTACCTGGAGCTCCCTTTAACTGTCCCCGTAGACACAAACCTCTCTCTTTCTCCCTACACTGCAGTTGCACTGGGTAGGGACTTCTATGCAAAGGTCATCGTTTTGGCCTATAGCCATTGTGTATTAGGCGGTTGACTCAAGTTGTGTTTTTCTCTCTGCACCTATGCTAACTGTCCAGTATTATTACTCTGCATTGCAAATCAAGTGCAAGTTTCCATTTAATAAAGCTCTTTCATGTAATCGCCAGAGTGTCTTTTCATTTTAAAACAAAAATCCATAAAAAGGAGTGATCACATTTTTATTGATATATATATATATATATATTTTTAATGATTAAAAAAATTGCATTCAAACAAATTCCGTCCCCTAAGGTGCGGCAACCAGACGCTCTCCACCTAGCTCCCTCCTCAGGTATGGCTCCAGGGTGGGGCCCTGGTTAACCCTCTCAGATAATTTCACCCCATGGCAGGAAAGGGACCGTCTAGTCCAAGTCTGCTCTGTTGTATAAAAGCTAAAGTTATACAATTATATATGTGTCGAGTAATTGATAAGCAACATTTTTCACTGAGTCATTATGTGAACCAAATCAAGAACTGTTTAAATGCTGCTATGCTGCTACCAGTTAAAGAAAGTTATGGGCTAGCACAATCCATTTCATTCCAAACTTCCCAAAATATTCTACTTTTGCACTTTGTCATAGTTGTCTGTAAAAAGATTTCCCACTTTAATTTAATGTTGTTTTATTAGTTATTATTTTTCCTCTGCACAGTGTTTATCCTTATTCCTATGTTGCATTTCTAAAGAATAGTTGTTGCCAAGCTTTTTATCCTTGATCGGCAAATGAAGCAGATTTCTATTCTGATTTTGTCAAAGCATTACATTACAAGCATTACAAAGAGCTTGTTCAACAGGTAGTCATGTGATAAAAATATTTATTTAGCCTTATTTATTTATTTGGAACATGCTGATATGTATGTGACTGGAGCCCCAAAGTGTAAATTAAATAAGAGCCTTATAAAATGAATGGTGTCATTAATAACTGCAAAAACAGTTGTGTATTAAAACCACAAATATCTAAAATATTGTGATCTATTTAAAAATACAAGTTAATATATAAATATTCTTGCTTGGGTTTTACATTACATTACTTTGTTTTAGACCAGTATATAGGTCTCTTTCTGGTTAAAGAATGACATATTAAACCTGCAGTCCCATTTCATTCTTTTGAAGTGTTCCACCAGTTAGTTGTTCTTTAATTTGTTGTGGTAGAACAGTGGTTCCCGAACCTTTTTTGCTGGGCCCCCCTTTGTGCCCCCCCCCCGGCGCGCGCAC